CAAATTATGCAAATTAAGTAAAGGCATTAATAAGGCAGGCAAAAGACTGTTTTTTTACGACGAAATGAAAAGTTAATACGGGCTTAAACTAAAGCAAATTGTCAAAGTATCCACAACCTATTGTAGTATTGTATTGTATTCGACACCTCTAAGCTTTGAGTGTCCGATATCAGACACAAGTCAGTAGATAACATTTATAAATTTACTAAATTTAATTGCGTGGGCATTCGCTATTTTATTACGAGATATTCCGGCGAAACGTTACTCATACACCTCGGTTAGTATCTCACAGTACCCTAGTATCGTAGAGCGACAGTACCGTAATACTGTAGTATCACTGTACCGTAGTACCGTAGTACCACAGTACCGTAGTACCAGTGACGTACCACAATACCACATTACCGTAGTACCACAGTACAATAGTACCACAGTACCGTAGTACCACAATACCACAGTACCATAGTACCACAATACCACAGTACCACAATACCACATTACCGTTGTATCACAGTACCGTAGTACCACAATACCGGAGTACCACAGTACCACAATACCGTAGTACCACAATACTACAGTACCACAGTACCACAATACTACAGTACCACAATACCACAGTACCACAGTACCGTAGTACCACAATACCACAATACCACAGTACCGTAGTACCACAATACCACAGTACCACAGTACCGTAGTACCACAATACCGTAGTACCACAGTACCACATTACTGTAGTGCTGTGGAACTATACAACCAAAGAAGATCCGTGTTATCACTATTCATAGGGGGTTGGGTCCTAATTATGCTAATATATGCTAATATATTTGGTGACTGCGTGTCATGGAATTATAACCCATAATAGAGCCTTCCAGGTTAAGGATGCCATCTTGAATTTTACCCCTTGCAAAGTTACCTATATTATTGTGTTTCATTATGGCATCATTAACCTTGAAAGGGTCCTATTTAGACATGATGTTTTACAAATAGCACAGGTTTATTAATATTAACACCTTCATGGGTAATTGTCTGGTGTTAACCAAGTAAAATGGTAAATTAGAGTGTGTGCATCTGCATTTGATTTGTGTGTTAACAATCAAATACTGTGTACACAATAATACATTCAGGTCATACCTGACATAATCAACGTGATACATTTTTTATTGTACGATCACCCAGATTAAATTTTGTTATTGTTTCCTGGTAACCATTATCAAAGTTACAAATTTACAGTTATATTACTTTAGATAGCCGAAATGTCAGAAACAATGAAAAAAATTTTAATCTGTATGATCATACAATAAATTAATGGAAGAACCCGAATTCAAGCCCTTCAATGATACAATGTGTAAATGCCTGTTAGAAACCAATACATAGTTACGGAAACCACTGAGTATTTTTATAAAATACAAAAGAACAGTAACTCTGAATAACATTTTGTAGCTTTAATGAATCTACGTTTCGACTAACTAAAATATAGTCGAAACGTAGATTCATTAAAGCTACAAAATGTTATTCGGAGTTACTGTTCTTTTGTATTTTATAAAAACCAATACAGCTTCTCAATAATTGTATCAAACACTTTTTTGGCCTAGAGGCCTCATGATTAGTGAGCTGATTGCCTTACATCTTTATTAATCAGATTGAGGCTTCCAGGCCAAAAAAAGCATTTATGACTTGATTATTGAAAGGGTGTATTACCTGCAAACTGTGTTTTTATTCATTGTCTGTCATTGCAAAATTCTCAAAAAACCAATTATCGATAGGTGCATTCGACTCCATTGAACTGTCAGTTTCACAATATCCCCAATCTTGGCTGTCCATCATACTCTGAAAACTAGGGTCGTCTCTCACTTCTTCCCATTTCAAAATCCATTTCATCCTCTATAAATGTGGAAAGACCAGTGTCAACTTCAATATCACCAAAAACTCTGGTTTCTCCAGATCTCCACATTTGTCACTACATCTTCAAGTGTAAAAGTTTTATGACATGATTGAAGAACTTGCTTGATTTGAAACCCACCAAATTCCAAAAAGACATTTGGAACACCAACAGTTGCATTCATATTGTGGATCTCACTCTCAATCAATTCTTTCTTATATGACATCATAAGGGCTTTCAATTTACTCTTCTGTTCGGATGTTACAGATCTTGTAAAAGCAGAATCACATGAAGTATCCGAGACAACTTCCTCTTCTGCATTCATTGCTCCCACACACACACATATTTCAGCACAAAAATCACAGCATTCATGCAGAATGTGAAATTGAGCACACTTAACACCAAAGTCTGAAAATATTGTCTGCCTCAAGCATATGGGGTTTTCATTCATGATGAATCTCTTCATTTGGGTTGTGCAATGGCTGGATAACAAACCATTGTACATAATTATACAACTGCTTGGCTTGCCATCCCGGCCTGCACGCCCACTCTCTTGGACGTAGCTTTCCAAGTTCTTTGACGGCCTGAAGTGTATCACACGTCTAACACTTTTACAATCAACACCCATGCCAAATGCAATGATTGATATTAGTACACGAATATGTCCAGTTTCTTTGCTTAGATTTTCAATCACATGCTTTTTCACTTGGTCAGGTGTACCAGCATGGTACATTTCAACAACTCTGTTCTGGGGTCTGTTAATACCATTGTATAGGTTGTTCTGCAGATGAATTTCAAATAATCGAAATATTAATCCACAATGCTTTCGGGTTTGGCAATAGATGATTGTCCGTTCAGTAGTAGCTCCTTTCTGAAACACTTCATCGATTATTCCTCGAAAAACCATCTCAAGTGGCATATTGTTATCAATGTACTGTAAACTGTATTGTAAATTATTACGGTTCGGACTTCTTTTCACAGTATACACTTTCTTCACTGGTATATGCAGACAATCAAGAATGCAATCTGTTGTCGACTGTGTGGCGGTGGCTGTAAGAATGAGAAAGTTTACATTTGATGGAACCAGAGACACCAATTCACTGAGGTTATCATACCATTTTCTGAATGGAATGCTTTCTTTTCTTCGCCCATATGATGACCTTCCCCTGAATAGTTGAGAAAACAACTTAACAATATTTGTGAAAAGTATTAACAAAATTACACCAATCAGGCAATCACTAGTATATATCATTGTATGCTTTGTCAACCTTCAGAAATTAATATGTTAAATTTGAGATTTCATTAAGAGGTACAGGCTAAGTTTTACTTACCACTGGATGATACAATGGGGTTCGTCAATTGCCACTCCGGATAGATTTTCCAAAAATAATTTGGAAGCAAATATACATCTCCACTTGGTTGTTGCCAGAATACACTCTGGTGAAGCATAAATGTGTGAATATTTGCCTTGTATCACATCTTGCATTGCATGATCGTTGGCTTCATCAGTGATACAAACAGCTGCTATACCCAAACTGTTTAGGTAGGCCTACTTACTCCTCCATTAACGACTTTAAAGGCGAAATGATAACGATCATACTTGTACCTTTCGGTCGCCGATTCAGGGAGTCAAACATAATTGGCATGACTTGCTACACCAGGGACTTTCCGAAGGCTGTCGGTAGGTTTACATACACATGGTGGTCCTTAAAGTAGTTTTCCAAAGCCTCCTTTTGTTCAGGGTATAGCTCGTTGAAATTAAATGTCGAACAAACACTTTTAAGAGCGTCATTCCAACGATCAATTGGAAAAGAAAGCTTGTCACTAGACGCTGCCATGTTGTATATTGAATAATATAATCATAGCATACATTATAAAATTAATTCAGAATTTAAACCAATCATGACGCGGCTTAGGTAGACTTGGCTATTAAACCAATCAACATGCGTTACTTATTTTCATGTAAGTGCATACGTCACGGCACACGATTAGCTTCACAGTTTAGCAGACCCAAATTTCCGGTTTTCCTTCGAAAGAAATTTCGGGCTGCGAGCAGGCTACAATATATATAACTCTACAGATAAATTAAAATTCTCTTTAGCAAAAGTTTTCAAAATGATTTGGTGTTCTAATTTTCGTTCTTTTCACATTGATTTGTGCGTTGTTCACTCGATGGGCTTTCGCCACTGTCAGTTCTATATTTTTCTAAAATTTTGGTTTCTTGGTGTAATAAATCTGTGTATATAGTCTATATAATGTGGTAAATGCGCCTAGCAGTAAACAGACTAGATATGAAATCTGATAGCAAAAACTTGTGTTATATAATTGATTTACCTGTATGTACATGTTTAATATCTGTCACCTGCATGTGATTGCCCTTTCACCCCTGGTCTTGGCTACTTTAAATTAATATATATAATATATTGCTTTTTCTCTGTTCCACTCATGGTAAAAATTGATTTCTTACTGGTATTACTGTAGTTCTATTTGCTTTTAATGCCCGCAGCCCAGACTGTAAAGTTTTATTTCTTCGCGGGGAATGTTGGGATTGACTGTGGCAGTTGCGCAGAAATCATAAGGGAGCGTAGAAAATAGGCTGACTAATGACATGCAGACAATGGCGCCTCAAACCCAGGCTTTTAAAGATGAAATGCACATAATGTCATAATTAGTTATGTTTACTACACAATTGACTATTTACGTTTGAAAAATTTGTAATTATCGATTTTGGACGTTTGGTTTTGCACATTAACACATATAACTAGTTCTATACATATACTAAATGCTAAATTGTGTTACTGGCTGACTGTATGCAACATACCTTTAATTAACCAGTACATATTACATACCTAGTCAATCCTGTGTGCAGGCATGTCATGCCATAAGAACAAAACAAATGCTTATCTAAAATGTCAAAGTTATTAAATATACACTTGGGAAATTCTTCTATCTAAAGAAGGAGAGTCCCTTTTTCGATTCTTTCATTTGTGTTAGCACTTTTGACAGGGAGTTATATGTCAGAAAAGACTTCTTTTTTTTGTAGACAGGCACGTGGTGTCTCTTAACTCCAAGTCCCCGTTGGTGTAAAGTCTAGCCGTTTCGTCCAATGCTCTTTCACAGTCTAACACTGGGGGAAAACACCAATCAACTTTTGCTCTGTCACCGAGAACTTTAATGCTTTGACCACCATCCATTCCTGACTGCGAACCACCCCGTAAAAAGATTCCACAACAGCTTCAGTTCCCGTTTTCGCATACATTACATCAAATATTATGCAGAATTCTTGCCCAATAGAGGTATAAAAATCGGTGTCCGTGTATAATGCTGTGATCAATTCTTGCTCGTGTAAAAACACAGTTTCCTCTTTTCCATTATCAAGTTCTATATTATACACATCTGAAAGGGTGAACTTGGTAGCTTCAGCTTTTTCAAACCTTTTGATGAACGAATTCTCTTTAAGCTGAATTTCTTTGTAGTTTCCTGGTTTTTCTTGAACCTTGAAGAATCTAGGAAAGAGCGACATGAAAGACTGACCCCACACAATATCAATCAGCTTATCTTTTAATTGCCAGTAAATGGAACTACTCAGCTCATCACAAAGAGCTAAATTCAGAGCTTTCACATGAGGGAGAAGGGACACAAATTGGACACATTGCTTGAATTCCTGGGTGCCAAGGCGGGAAAAGGCAGCTTTGTTCACTGGTATTTCAGACTGGGAAGTTCGCATTCCACAAATTCCATTGAATAGCAAGGCGAAGTCAAGGCATTTTTGGAGAGTCTTGCTTAGTTCGGGGAAACCTTAAATATAAAAAGTCACTATTAATCAAAGATATTCATTACTGTTTCTTTGGATTACCTTTGTGATAATTATTTTAAGATAAGCATAATTTTTAAGTCTTTAGGTCTTTCTGACAGTCTTTGATTTCTCTAGCTTCCCACACGAATTCACCATTGCCTTCACATCCAACGATGATCCATCCAGGTTCAAGTTCCACTGATTTGAATCGATTGTTTCTTATATCTTTGGCATGCCTATTGAGCCTGGCGCTAGCTTTTTTGTCAGGAACACGTTTAAGGATCTCTGGGGGAAATAGCTCTAATTGAGCAATAGCTAAGCCTATGTAAGATGGAAACTTCCAGCCCGGGCACCATTGTAGTTGGGCCATAAGCATGAGCTCAATGATTGGTCGTAGAAGATCCAATATACCGCATAAATCGAACACAAAATCATTCCCACAGAGCTTGTATCGCATTTCCTCTTCGTTATGATGGTCTAGAAATGTTTCTACATATGCTTCATAGCTTATCTCTAAACGCTTCAGGCTCAAATAGCTGCTGCTCATAAACCTTTGGGGTGCATATGCATTAGTTACTCGAAAAGGCAAGTTGGATTCCTTGGCCGTTTCTTTGGCAATTGCATACATTTTGCCATGACAGAATATTTGATGAAATAGTGCAACTCGTCCAAGAAATTGCTTTACAAAACTGTCGTCCTTAAACGAAGAGAAGACTTTATCCAATATGCCATCTTGATCACCTGCAACCTGCATCTTTTATAATGTGCACTATTTGTTGAATATATTGAGCATGTTCATGTGTTATATTTATTGGTGACTCAGAAACTATAACATTATTATCAGACTGTAAATCTGCAAATGCACCATCCTCATCAATCCCATAGTCGTCCCAATTTATCTGTGAACCACTTTGCACACTAGTCACAGTGCTGTAGTTGGTGTTTTGACTGGAAATCATTCCTTGTATCCAAAGCTGTCTGGGGTTTAGATTGCAGGCAGTACTTAAAGGGTGGCAGTTCCACGCCTAAGTCAGTTCCTTTAGTGCTTGGTTTATGAGAGGGTTATACACAAAATGTAAAACAAACAAATTAAGCTCATTTGCAGTATCAAAAAGTAATGACTCGAGATAGGAAAAATATTCACAAATCGACTGCACATAATGCTATTGATTTCGTGCACAAAGCCTTTCGACCTGCTGATTATGAACTGTTGTACCACTTATAATACTTCCTCGATTCAGTCCCCTAGATTGCAACATAAACCTTGCAACCTCAGTATTCTCTAAACCCAAGTTTGTGGATACATGTGAAGGTAGATTATTTTTTTTCTTTTTTTATCAGCCATGCATATAAAAGGTTACATCTTATTATACAAACAAAGAAAATTACAGGGTATACATCCAATGGGGCTAGCGCAAACAGGACAACAAGACCCATGCAGGCCACCCCTAAACTAAACTAGTGAAAACAAACTTATTGACTATACAGAATATATACATATATAACTTAGGACTTAAGTAGTTAGTTGGGCAGTCTCTTATGAGCGACCAAGTACATGTCATATATACGTTAAAAGTACTGATCACCAAGGCGGTGTATGTCTTGTGCAAAAAGCTTTTAAAGATATTTAGACTGGCAAACATTTCTGGAGAGGCTATTTTACATATATAGTTCCAAGGCTTTACTATTCTATTAAAAAACGATGCCTGAAAGGTGGATGTTTTACAACAGGAGTGTTTTAGCATTAGGTTGAATGAGTTTATGATTGCCATCCAAATGCCTAGAAAAACTAGGAATCCAAGGATAGTGTGAAGTTTCAAATTGAAAAAGACACTGCAAGAACTAGATAGGGTCGCCGACAACCTAGAAAAGCTGATGGCTTACACTACGAAATAAACAGTTACCAAAGGCATTTCATCTTATTATTTATTGCTTTTAATACGCTGGGCACACGAGTAGCATGACGTTTGAAACAATCCTAACACATCAGAAACGTGCCTTGTGAAACTGATGCAATTCATCTATTTACTGCGATGCTACACACGACAATTCGAAATTTAAATTGTTTCACCAACAACCAAATTTTTCATATTCTAAATTTTCATTTGCATTTGCAGCTGTCGCTAAAGCATCCCCACGAGGCTACTGCTATCCTAAATTTATCTAAAACTGTAATTGAAATAGCTGTATAAGATATGTTATGAATAATAAGCACTACGTCATTACATCATTAAAAGGACGCATTTTATCCTCATCTGTTCCATATTTTATCCGCATATCCGTTCCGTGGATCCGCTCCATCCGCTTCCGCATTTTAACCTAATTTTGACATGTTTCACTGCTTTCACAATAACAAGTCTCATTGACCTTTGACTTTTCCCAGTGTCACGTTGTGTCTATTTTTAGTTTTTCGCATGTTTTGAATAATGTCACTTTAGATTTCAATAGTTTCACATGCATGTACAGTTATAGCAGTGTTTATTGTTTAAAGCAGTTTTGACAAGCTTTGATACAGTTCGTGTACAGAATACTACAGATTGATTCTCGTAAGATCTGGTAGAGTTATCGTTGCACTGAACACACGAATTTGCACCGTTGACAACGGCGTTGTGCTAGACAGTATAAAACAAGGTCCGTGACGATACACGTTGGCTACATGTACCATGTACCTCCTTGCTTTTTTCTTCTATTGCATAAAGCTTGTTGGCGAGCCAAGCGATTGGCGATAACACGTTGGCGATAACACGTTGGCGATAACACATTGGCTATCTCCTCGTCTTTCTCATTCAAATAAGGAGCTCTGGCTCAACTGATTTCTTTAGTCTCGCAAGTTATTTTCTTCGTAAACGCAGTACAAACACCCGTTTCTGTTTAATAGTTGTTTATGTTTTATTGATCTGTTACAGATCCGATGCAATTTTTCGCTCTTTGTACTCAGTGAGTGAGTGTACACCTTGGCTTATACTGTCAATGACAATGTATAATGAATACACGGTCTAAATAATATCGATGTGCACTTAATTGAATTGAATGCCGGTAATGCACAACATCAATTTATATATTGTATTATTGCGTAGAATCTCAAAGATTTTCTCAATATTCATGTCCGAAATGTTTATATACTTGAAAACAACACTGTCTCGCTTCTGCCTATGTACTGTACCTCTGTATAATGAGTATACCGTGATAATAATATCGGCACTCAATTGAATGTCTAGAATCTCAAAGAAATTCGACTCAATATTTACGTCTGAAATGTTTAATACACTTGACTTGCACTGTCTGGGCGGTCTACTCCTTCCTAGCTCTGTATAATGAATATACCGTCTAAATATTATCGGCACTTAATTGAACGCTTGTAATACATAAGATCAATTTATATATTGCGTAGATTTTCAAAGATTTACTCAATATCCACGTCTGAAATGTTTATACATCTGAAAACAACACTGTCACTCCCTACTAGCATATCGTCACGCCATCGTGATCTACGGCTTGATAGCGCATGCGCATTTGCGTTATAAAGAAAAATCGGGTGTTCGGGGGTAAAGATCCTTTATGCAACATGAGAAGCGAATGTTTTAAAATTTACAAAAAATTACAATACGAAAGCGATTCCTTGAAATTTTTGTGAACTTGGCAAAAGGATAACAGAATATGTGAATAAGTAAACTGAAATTGCCTAAATAACCTTTAAAGTACTGACTAAGTACAATAAATCACTACCAACACAAATCGTACACCCCCCCCGGAAAGTTTACTGTATGACTGACTGACTGAATGAATGAATGAATGACTGACTGTTTCGTTTGAATTTCCCCCAGTCATCACAATACTGTATAACATCACAATACTGTATAATAACAATTACCTTTTAAAAAGGTAATTGTTATGCCTAGGATGCCTAATGCAGGATTTCGTTGTCTGATGAGTGTGATGTCAATGTTTACACATATGAAAATGGGGATGGATCCAGCACAGTCTGAAAACGGGGGGGGGGGTGCTCTGCCAACTTTGGTGCCAAGTTGTGTTAGTCATGTGTGCCGCCAGCCCATCAACATACTGTATTTTAATTGTAATAGTTTTTCACAGTTTGCTTATCATCTTATGCTATTGCTCATATTACTCTATCTCATTTTGTCTATTGTTTTTTGCTTTATCTGTCCAGGGCTAGGGCCCTCCCCCCCCCAAGTAAATCCATTCCTGTATGAAGATGAAGACATAATTGTTAATCTTTTGTAACTTCCTCACCCTTGATGTGAGTTTTTCTTGCGTATTGAGTAAACAGTTTTAGGTAAGATTAATAACTACACTGACCACCCCCTCATACTTACCACAATGCATTTGGACATGGTACTGAATATCGTCTTGTGATAATGCTTCTTGAACCTCTTAGTGTGATCATAACTGGATCCACTCTTCTATGCGCTTCCAGAACATGCCGTTGTTGAATTTGCAAACCACGATATCGTAAAGCACCCTGATAACCAATTCTTGGTGTAACCTATAAGATGTCACGAACGATTCGATCCAGGGCATTGTCATCAATATTAGAAAAAGTCTGCCTGCTATACGGTGTTTCAAATAAACGTCTCCAGCGACACAATGTGCTTTCAGAAACACCAAGGTTTCTTGCTATTTGAGCCCATGAAAATCCAACTTGAACATGAAGTGCCTCCAACAACTCCTGTGACACCTCAAGTCTAGGTCTGCCAACCAGAGTTGCAAAAAAGCTGCGGGCATGTGGGCATTGCCTGTGAGGAAGGTTTACCATAGGGGGGTCAGTGAGGATGTTTAGTGGCCAATGGTCGCTAACACCAAAAAAGTAAAACAAATAAATCATGGTTGAATAAGGCAGTTGAGGCTGAAAAGTTGTGGTGGTACTATTGTGATATAGTACCTATACCAGATGACTATGACATTGGAGAATACTGAGAAGACAATAACTGAAAATATTCTGTAAAATTAAAATGTGTCAGTGTCAAGCATCAAAGGTGTCTTAGGCCACATAAAATAACTTGCTTCATTCTCATCACTGCCCAACTGTATTTTAAAGGATTAGTGTCAGGGCCATGCATTGCGGGCTTTTGTTATTGTTTACATTTTGCTTAAATACAACAAATAGCGATAAAAATACCTTGTTTGGTACATTTCTGATAAAAATCACACAAAAAGAGAAGTATTATAAAAGGATGGTTTAAATGTATGACGGATTGTAAACACTTTCCAGATCATCTAATCTATTCATCCCGAAAAATGGCCGCCAGCAGGAGTTTGAGCCCGAGAATTCCCGGTGTGACATTAATCCTTTAAGAGCTGTGTTAAAATTTTTTTATTTTTTGTTATACAATATAAATGAACCGCCCGACAAAATATTTCAAGAAAGTTAAGGTTTTTTATATTTTAATATTTTATAATGGGGTTTCAGTGCCATTTTAACTCATTAACGTGCAAGCTGTTACAATGTTTCTACCTCCCAACTCGCAAGCAATATGGCGAATATGTGATTGAATTCAAGAGCTTTCACCAAAATGGTAATATCTCAGAAACAGGTGCATGAAAAAATCTGGTCTTTTCAACCAAATATTATTGATATATGATTGACCAAATTTAGTTTAAATGAACTTGCATACCTATATATTTCATTCGTTTTTTCAATGAGAATTTTTATTTGTAAAGCAGTGACACTTGTTTTTCATGTCACTCATCACCTAAAGGGGTAATATCGCCATAAATTTATATAAAAACAAAAAA